CACGAAATTTGGCAGGGGTAAAGGAGAAGAGAGAAGGGCAAACAGCAGCAGTACCACTGTACCCCCACCTTGGATCTGCCCCTGCACCTAGCTAAACTGGGGGAATGGGTTTAATTAGTAATTCGCGTCAGTCTTTCATCAGCCCAAAGAGACCGCCCTGCCTAGCATGACGCAGGTCAGCCAGGGTGAGGGTGTATTGATACCCAGCATCAGTGTAGACCTTGTAAAGGAACACCTTGAGAGGCTGGACATCTTCAACTCAGCTGGTCCTGTCAGATTACACCCTAGAGTACTCAGTGAGCTGGTAGGTGTCATAGCCCAAACATTGGCCAAAATATTCGAAAACTCGTGGCGCTCAGGTGAAGTACCTGAAGACTGGAAGAAGGCCAATGTGGTACCCATCTTCAAGAAAGGGCAAAAAGTAAATCCCGGGAATTACAGGCCAATCAGCTTCACCTCAATCCCCAGTAAGATTCTGGAGAAAATTGTCAAAGAGAACCTTCTGGATAAGCTGGCTGATGGCAACATCCTGAGGGATAGCCAGCACGGGTTTGTCACAGGTAGGTCTTGCCTGACCAATCTCATCTCCTTCTATGACCAGGTGACATATCACCTGGACAAGGGAGATCTATCTGGACTTTAAAAAAGGCTTTGATCTGGTGTCCCATTATTGCCTCATGGAAAAATTGGCCAACTGTGGCCTCGGCTACACCACAGTCCGGTGGCTGGGAAATTGGCTCCGAGGTTGGTCCCAGAGATCAGTAGTTGATGGAAATGAATTATTATGGCGCTCTGACCAGTGATGTCCCCCAAGGCTCTGTCCTTGACCAGTTCTCTTTAACATCTTTATCAGCGATGTGGACATTGGTGTCAGAAGCACACTGGCCAAGTTTGCAGATGACACTAAACTTTGGGCATAGCATCCACACCTGAGGATAGGCTAGTGATCTAGGCTGACTTGGATAAACTTAGTAAGTGGGCGGATATAAACCTGATGATGTTCAATACCAAAAAATGCAAGGTCCTCTACCTCAGGAAAAAAACCCCACAGCACGCTTATAGGCTCAGCAGTGCTACGCTCGCTAGCACCACAGCTAAAAGACACTTGGGGGTCATGATTGACCACAAAATGAACATGAGCCACCAATGCAATGTCACAGCTGGTAAAGCAAACAAAACTCTGGCTTGCATCCATAGATGCTTCTCAAGTAAATCTCAGGATGTCATCCTCCTCCTGTACTCAGCCTTGGTGAGGCCGCAGCTGGAGTACAGCATCCAATTCTGGGCTCCACAATTCAAGAAGGATGTCAAGAAGCTTGAGAGAGTCCAGAGGAGAGCCACGTGCATGATCAGAGGGCAAGAGAACAGGCCTTATGAAGAGAGGCTGAGAGCCATGGGACACTTCAGACTGGAAAAGTGCAGGCTCTGGGGGGACCTGGTAGCTGCCTATAAGTACATAAGGAGTGTGCATCAGGATCTGGGGGAACATCTGTTCACCAGAGCACCCCAAGGGATAACAAGGACCAATGGTCAAACTCCTCCATGACCATTTTAGGCTGGGCATAAGGAAAAACTTCTTTACTGTCCAAGCCCCCAAGGCCTGGAATAGACTCCCTCCAGAAGTGGTGCAGGCACCTACTCTGGACTCATCCAAGAAACATTTGGATGCTTATCTTGCTGGGATCCTTGGACCCTAGCTGACTTCCTGCCCCCGGGGCAGGGGACTGGACTTGATCTTCAGGGTCCCTACCCTGGGGGCCTTCAAAAGGAGGCTGGATAATCACCTGGCCGGGGTCGTTTGACCCCAGCATTCTTTCATGCCATGGCAGGGGGTCAGACTTGATGATCTGCTCAGGTCCCTTTGTCCCTAACCAGCTATGCAACTATGAATCACTGTCCCCCGACTCCATTCAATACAAATCTGAAGCTAATACTAGCCACTTTGTGCAGGCCTAATATGCACATGTATATTACGGGTGTGCAAAGTGGGCCCTATTCAATTAGGATTCGGCCTGAATCAGGGACAGTGATTCGATTCATTGATTCGGATCACTGTCCCCAATTCAATTTGGCCAAATCCGAATCTGAAGATTCAATGCTGATTCAGAGAATCAGTGATTCGGACATAGACACAGCTTTAAAAGTTTTTTCTACATACTTTGAGGTACCAGGCGCAGCTTGTGGATGCTGGGGCGCATGGAGCGTCCCACAAGAATGTGGGGCGGGGGCCCTCCATGTGCTCAGCGGCAAACCCGGAAGTGGACCAGAAGTACTTTCAGTCCACTTCCGGATCTAACGGGAAGCATACGGGGGGGGGGGCCCGCACCCTCTTGGCTTGACGATCAGCCACAGGGGGACATAAACATTTAAAGCTGTCTCTACATCTGAATCACGGAATCTCTCCGAATTGATTCAGAGGGTTCTGATTCAATTTGGAGAGACTAAAGGGTCCTCTGATTCAATTTGGATTCAGAGATTCAACCACTGAATCAGGCTGAATCTCTGCCGAAGCAAACCAGGGGCCAAAGCTTCACACAGCCCGACTGTATATGTCTACGTACATCCACATGAACACATATACATTGATGTTTTTCCTCAAAATGTCTTAAAATGCATCCCCTAGCCCAGCAGTTCCCAAACTCTACCAGATTGTATACCACCAATTTAAAATGATACAGCCTTAAGTACAACCAACATTTTTTTCATACACATAGGTAACAGTCTATGCATTAAAACAACATCAAAACTGACATACTGAATGTAATATTTGAATATTTGTAATAGTTGCCCATTAGCCAGTTTAGGAAGAAGACAAGATTTATCTTCTTATCTAGGCCATTGTTTTGGTCTACGTGCGGAAGGTCCTAGCTTTGCTCAAAGTCTTAACTCTTGAATTTTATCTTTAGAGGCCTTTAACAAAGTTAACCTAAAAATGACCCTTGAGCAAACATCCCACATTCTGAGAAATCAAACCCTAGGAGCCTTTGAAAAAATTGGAAAGAAAAGGTCACTTGCAGTAGTATGGAAGTTCCTCAAAGTAATTAAAATGATCAACAAAAGAAACTAATTACCAAGCAAAAGAATCTGTTAAGTAAGATCTGAGCCCAAATTTGGGAGTAGTGACAGGTTTGGGTAGGAGGGGCCCAAGACGACAACTCACTCAATAAAAACTGTAACCTACTGTCCCAATTTGGAGGTAACTTCACTTGCAGAAAAACAAAGGAAGAATCGCAAGTGTAGGCCGGATCAGACTGATCACCTGAACCACCCTCTCCGTGAACACGAATCTCTTAGTTCACGCTGAAGCCGCGGAGAACCCGAAAGGGACTGAAGGAAGGGGACTTAGTCCTATCAGTATTGAGGCCAGCCCATTGAATCGTATTGCTGAGACCAGCCCATTGAACCGTACTACTGAGGCCAGCCCATTGAACTGTACTGCTGAGGCCAGCCCATTGAATCATACTACTGAGGCCAGCCCACTGAATCGTACTACTGAGGAATGAAACCATATTTAGGTGTTTGGCTTCTCGGAATTCTAGGATTGTAAGTATATTATGAAAAATAATAGTATTGATTCAAATTTAACTTTGAGTTGTAATTGTAATTGTTTGGGAAGGAAGTACATTAGGAGCATTGTTTCTGATACATGTAGTTATTGTGTTCTTAATGTTTGTGGTATTTCTTAAAGCTAAGCAGTGTTATATGCGTAGCAAAGAAATTTAAAATAAAATTGTGTTGTATGAATTAAGTGTGTAATCATTGTGAAATCATGCAAGTAGCTAAAAATTTCCCCAGCCAGTGCATCAAACGAATCCATAAGTTGTGTGGAATCTTCTCTATTCCATAACCCACTAGAGACAAAAACCTTTAATAAACATAAAACATTGTTTTATGAGTTATGGTGGCCATATGAAAGTTACAATTTAAAAAAAATTGATCACAATTAGCTGTCACAATTGATTGTAATTTTACTCGCACAACTAAAAACTCAAAATTATGCAGGTATTTTGTATGTTTGGAGAGTAGGAATTTGTGAAGGTGTGGGGGCCTGTGGGTATGTTTGTGGGGTTTGGAGCCCCGGGGGGGGGTGTCCTCACACACCCTGGCAGGATGCCAGGATACTGTGGGTCATGAGTGAGAGGCAGCACCAGGGCTGGGGGGCTGTGGCTTGACACACACAGACAGACATGCACACAGACACACACAGCACTCAGCAGGTAAGTCTGTGGAGGGAGAGGAGCAGATCAAGCCCCCCACAGCATGGTGCAGAGCCCAGCATACAGTGGGCAGCTTGCATCTGCCCTGTGCACAGATCTGGGGTGCATGTGCTGCCCATCCCTGTCCCAGGTGCGTACAGCAGCAGGA